TTTACAGACACAAAGGCCTCCTTAGTTTACAGAAATGTAGGCTATTATGTTTCTATGCCCAGCAAATTCGGGAATGAACTATGTGTTAATTAAAATATATACATCTGGCTCGTAGCACATTAAACTTTATCAGAAGTCAGAATTTAGCCATATAAACAATATAAGCTAAAACATACAGCAATAATTAATAATTATAATTACAACAATAATATTAATAATAAAGTAATTAACTGTTTGTTCTAGAATAAGCTTGAAGGTTAAAGCTTGTGCCTACTTGAAAAAGCCTAAAGTCTTCCACAATTGTGTCTGATTATGACACAATTTTTCACAAGCAAGCTGTTGCTGAGCTTACTGACAAAGTAAAAGATTTAAGTAAAGAAGTGTCTGCATTTAAACTGCAGTTGCATAAGTCACAAAGTCATTCTCGCCAAATGTCATCTCCAAATAGCTACAGTTTAACGAAATATAGTACAGCAGGAAACTGTTTCGCCATTACAGAAACAGACATCGAGTTGTTCGTTCATCTTCACCTGACAGCTACAGAAGATTACCCAGCTTTCACCAGGACCTGTACAGGCTAGCTAGCGATACCTACCAACACATACCTACCATGATCCACGGGAGAGTTACCATGATGATAACTATACTAAACATTCTGCCAATTTCTGCACTGACTATAATAGTGATGACCAGCGAGGAAGATGGTCTGAAACAAAGCCATATAATAACTCCTCAATTCAATGATGGAGTTCCAGTCCTCAATGAAAGCATTTTACTTTTGAGGAGAAGAGCGAGAGAGCTACATCAAGAACCACAGCAGTCCAGTTTGTTTCCTCAGAATTGTCGATGAGCAACATACCAGCTCATTACAAACGTCATCAGGGAAACTTCAACTAGCTGATGAAGCAGGGCACAGTTCAGCTGTTTTACCACCAGCCCCATTTGACACCATCCAGATGAAAACTGCTGAAACCTACTGTGCATCCAAGATCATAAACATTGGCATGTTGCAGACCACAAGGGCACTTACACAGCACACATCAGTGGCACAGTTGAAGGTACTGACAGGCACATTCTGATAGACACGGGTTCCAGCATGTCATTTATTAGTGAAGCTACTCAAAGAGCAATTCCATTTTTGTGTCAAAACCACTGAAGTGTATTTTTATTGTCAAAATCTGTAACTGGTCAGAATTTGGAAACTTTGGGATCTGTAACTGTTACTCTGAGACTAAGCACTCTCACATTATGGCATGAAATGCATGTGATTAGAAATGTGAATCAGGGTATAATTCTTGATTTGGATTTTCTTCAGCAGCACCAAGTGGTCTTGAATAAAGGTAGAGGACCATGCTGCCTCTTCGATCAGACTATATCACTATTAAATTAATCTCAACTTGTCCCTACGAGTTATATAGCTCAAATTACTATGGCTACTACCATTCCTCCACACTGAGAAGCACTGTATAGCTAAACTTATCCCATCTGCTGTTAACTTAGGCTTAACAGATGGTCACAGCGGACTATTGTATATCAAGTTGTCTCTATAGCTGCGGTCACATTAGAGTTTAAGCATGCGATATTCTGTCATGCGGCGCTGCGAAAAGGGGCGAGATTAAACAAGTTTATTAGACATTGAAAAAAGCGAGCGATTGCTCCATTTTTTTAATTTCTGTCCAGAGAGGTCATGTTTTGATCCTCTATGGGTCTCACGCAGTCTAGTGATGCGATTTCGCAGGTCAGAGTTCACCAAGCTTGAACTTTGCACCGCAGCAACCTGCAAAACTTGATGCATGACCCTGCTTTTCCGGTCTGACGCATTTGTGTGCGTATGAATGGAAGTCTATGGGAGGGAAAGCCCAGTGTGACCGCAGATTTAATCGTTGAGGTTGAAATTGGTCATTATTGGTTGAAGACAAAAGAATGAATATCAGCACTGTCATAGACCAGGGGCCTGTTTCAGAAAGGAGGTTAAGTGAAAACTCAGAGTATTTTAACCCTGAAATGAGAGAAACTCTGGATTTTCCGTTTCAAAATGGCAGGTTTGTTAAACTCAAGAAATCAGGGTAAGTCAAGCCTGTTTCTGAAAGAAAGGTAACTTTAACTCAAGAGTCAGTTACTGTGGTAACTTACTCTGTGAATCTAACCTGGTCCGGAGCAGGTTTTATTCTCTAAACTCTGAGTTTCTGTCGGTCTCCTCCCCTTTTTTAAAGATGAAGCGGTATTTCTCGCCTGAGCCGTACATTTCCACACACATATTTTAGAGCTCATTTAGGAGATACCGATAAAAACGATTGATGGAAACGTCATGATTCACATAACTTTTGAAAATATGCATAATAAAACATGTGCATAACTGAGTAGGTTAAATTTTTATTTGATAAGAAAAGATTCGCATAAACTACGAAGTGCACTTAACAAATTACAGTATGTACATTAAAAAAAAGTTTGTTAGAGATGATGATGAAAATGTGTGTAAATAGACAAACCAGCAGACTGAGCACACTGTAGAACATCTTAAATGTTGTTTTAGTCATTCTAAAATGCCTTAACTGTTTCAGCATTAGTGTATTTATTAATTACCTCAAAGCGTCTGGAGCGTGTCAAGTCTCCGCGTCTGGCCTCAAACGCCCCCACGTGTTCATTGTGTGTCAATTGTCTTCTGAGGCGCAAGTATTAAATGAAAAATCATTGACGCAGCTTGTTCTACCGCAGTAAATTCTGTTTTTACTGTTGATATTTGCCGCAAGTTAATCAGGAAGTGACGATTGTGTTCTCTTTGACTCCTTGGATAAAAACGCTGCTTTATTCGCATCTTTTAGGCGTTATTCCAGTTTTGCACACATTTATGTAATAGCCTGTATTTTGATGGAAACAGCTATTGCCTACATTTTTGTCACACACAGAACAAAGTCACGTACGAGGCTTGTCCTTTTTTCCATAAATATTTAGCTTAACCTTCGACATGCACTGTTACTAGATTAATGGGATTATTATTCTGTCTAAAAATTATTTTTAGCACTGCTTACGTTCTTAATGTTATATCAACCTCTATTACTTGATCAATAAAAAGGCAGACACACAAGTGCACTGTTAAATCTATTAAAACTGATAAACGTGTATAAAAGTTTAGAAAAAAAGTATAAACGTCACACATTACATTACTTATTTTATTATACTTAAATGTTTAAATACTTTAAATTAAAAATTACGCATTAACTTGAGCAGCTGTGTTCCCACGCTGTCTCTGTTTCACTGATGGTTGCTTCTTTTTAAATATATACACTCATATTTGCTATAACTTTGCATGAGCAGATCAAGTTCAGCTGGGGAAAGAAATGGTGATCTCTTTTTTTAAGATGTTGCCATGGTCACTCGTAATATCTGCGCTCCATTGATAATGCCTTTTTATAGTCACGGTGTGCGCGCTTAACTCTGAGTTGGTCTACTCAAAGTTGATTGACCCAGCTCAGATCAGCTATTCTGAAACCGAAAACTCAGAGTTTTTTATCTCTCGGTAAATCAACTCAGAGTTCAAGTTTAAACTCCGAGCTGTTTGAACCTCCTTACTGAAACAGGCCCCAGATGTTTTGAAAGACTGAACAAACTAAATTATTAAAAATAAACTTGTAGGAGTTAATTTATGTCCTGTAGAAAAAAAAAAAAAAAATATATATATATATATATATATATATATATATATATATATATATATATATATATATATATATATTTTTTTTTTTTTTTTTTTTTTTAATTTATTTTTTTTTTATCTGCTTGTGAGGTCAACTTTTCGATTTCTTTACAGGCCAATTTATTTTTATGCTCTTGATGAAGTAGCATTCAACTTAAGAGCCCTCAACATCATGCGCCAGACTGTTTGTCTGTGTATTTCATATACATTTACAAGTAGGAGGGTATTTACAGCTACTGTATATTTCTGTCTGTTCACATCCCGTTCCTTTTTGCCCCTTTGCGCAATTGTCACAAACTGCTGTTACACCCAAAAACATTTTCTTAATCCTAGTTCTTAATAGTTCTGCATAATGATAATTTGTGTGTGTATGTATATACAATTGAAGTCACTTAATAGCCCCCTGTTTTTTCCCCAATTTCTGTTTAACAGAGAGAAGATTTTTTTCAACACTTTTCTAAACAATTGTTTTAATAACTAATTTTTCATAACTGTTTTCTTTTATCTTTGCCATGATGACAGTAAACAATATTTTACAAGATCTTTTTCAAAACACTTCTATACAGCTTAAAGTGACATTTGAAGGCTTAACTAGATTTATTAGGTTTATTAGGCAGGTTATGATAATCAGGAAAGTTATTGTAAAACGATGGTTTGTTTTGTAGACTATCAGGGAAAAAAATGCTTAAAGGGGCAACTAATTTTGACCATAAAACAGTTCATAAACAGTTTAAGACTTTCTCCAGAAGAAAAAAAAATATATTATCAGACATACTGTGAAAATTTCCTTGCTCTGTTAAACTTGGGAATTATTTTAAAAAGAAAAAAAAAAAAACATTTCAAAGGGGGGCTAATAATTCTGACTTCAATTGTATACATTCATGCACTGTAAGCAAAATCAGGCACTGCAGACTAAATAAAAATGCGTTTCAGTTCTGTGTAAAATAGTGCCATTGTTAATTGAATTTGCAGTGCATGACTGCCACCTAGATCAGATTCGGTGTAGCCTACTTAAAAAACAGTCCCAGCTCTTCCAGCCCATCTCAGTTACCCAAAATAATCTTAGTTTATTATACATGCAAGGGTAATTGAACAATACATTTTTTTTTCATTCTGTACTATCATTCATTAATGGTATTCAAAAGCATAAATAACCTCATAATTACATATAAATGTATGTAACTACATTACAGAACCACCTGTTCTATGGGGTGGGTGGGAGGTGGTGCTATGGCGCATGTCCATATGGCTAATAAATTCAGAAGCTGAAATGGTTTGTGGCTCATAAAAAGATTAATGGAGAGAG